GAGGCCTGTCCCTAACCCTCCACTAGACAGGCTGTATGCGGGCAGATGGGATGGATTTTGCTCCCCTCTGTACACAATGCCTCAAAACATCAAAAGTGCTAGATAAGTTATCAGTGAGTGATCAGTTTTGTTATTATTATTATTAGCTACTCTTGATATCTAACTATAATAATAGCTAAGAGTGTCTAATATTTATTTACCACAATGTAAACACATTACTGCGTATATGAAGTCATTTAATTCTCACTGTCATTAAGGTAGGACCATTCCCCCACTTTGCTGATCAGGCAGTGAGACACCGAGGTTAAGTTACTTGCCCATGGCCCGCCAATGACAGAGCTGGGATTCTAATACAGCCTGCCTGGCACTGCACTTGTCTCTGTCCTCACAAGCCTGGCACACTTCCCCACACGCACTCAGTGGCAGAAGCTGCTCCTCACCCACATGCCCACCACACACTCCACAGAAAGAGGAAAATCAATGAAACCCACATTCCTGTCCAAACGTTCAGCCCCATCGTTACTCTGTGTCCCCATGAGCAACTGCATACAAATGGATGCATTTTATTAAAAGCCTCCTTCCCTTCCTAATCATCCTAAGTAGATTAATTATTTAACCAGTCCAAGAGGGTGTTTAAAAAATCAGTTTATATAAGTAGATAAAGTAAACCCTTTCCTAGGCTCTAAGGCTCAAGGGATTTGGGTCAAAATCAAGTTCTACTTCTTACCTAAGCTCAACTCTCTATCCCTATAGGCCCATGGTCATGAAATGTGCAAACCAACAGTTCCTGCAGTGGTTATTTCCGGGCATGGCACTAAGACGTGGAATAAAACCAGAATGTAGAAACTATAAAACCCTTGACAGATGGTGCATGACCCCTCTCAAAATATCCCTTGAATGGAAGCGGAATACACTGATGTCAGAGGGACAGCACCTCCCGGCCATTTTTCACATTGAACAGGGCTATAACTGCCCCTGAGTTAAGAAGCTAACTCTATCAGCCAGTTCACAAATGAAGAGAGGCAGGAGGCTAACGTGAGATGCCCCTGAAAAGAACAGTCTTCACCATTTAAGACCGGGATTAAATGAAGAAAAATTCTGCTCGTAATTGGTGGCTTCTTTTTAATTAAGTGGGCCAATTTAGCACAGGAATGTACTTCTTTATTTCTAAACTGTCGCAGTCTCTTAAAGAGAGAAACTTGGAACATGAATTCTTGGATTTTTTGCTTTTCTGCCATATGAACCATTCCACCCATTTCTTTCCATTAATTCTCTGTTTTCCTATGGTAGAAAAAAAAAAAATGGATTTACTATTTACATCTTTCCCTGGAAACTTAGGAGTGATTGGCTTGGCTTCCAATTCCAACATGTCCAAACCCTCTACCTTTGATCAATTATAGAAATAAAAGCTAAATGTGAATATAAAACTAGAAATAATAGTTCACCCTCCAGCTGGCACTGAACAGCCCACGGAATCTCCCACTTGCAGAAGTACAAAGTCATAGGACAACTGAAGCGGGTTAAAGGCCCGGGAGCCAGTTAGACTAATGAGGAGTTGGGCTCAGAGTGTTTGTTTTTTAAGGATAAACTAAACACACACAATATTTATCATCTGTTCTGGCTGGGATGGGGAAGGAGCCAGCTACTTCACATAGGCCATGAGTCATGGGTTGAAAAAGGAGAAATTCCTATTGTTACATATTTTTATAAATGTTTAGGAAGTAATAAAACAGCTGCTGCTGTCAGTAACTCATAGTGAAAATATGCACATAAACATATTCCTGCTGCCACTGGAGCTGGCATCAAGCTGGAGGTTATTCTTCTCTGGGCTGCAAGGCCATGCACCAGTTTCCTGAACACCAGGTGGGGAATGCAGAGACCCCAGCCCCAGGTGACTCCTTGACTGTGGCCTTGAGAGTGACCCTGAGGTGGGGAATCCAGCAATGAGGCACCCAGGTTGCTGAGCCCCAGAAATGTGGTACATACTGATGTTGTTTTAAGCTGCTACATTTTAGAGTAACTTGTTACTCAGCAACAGATAGCTGATACAATAGCCACCCACAGACTGGCTGAGTTTCCTGATGCCTACTGCTGCCCTGGATCCTGCCTTTTGATCCTTAGCACTGTCATACTTGTCAAGGCAAACAAAGCCAGAGGGAAGGCACTGATTGGGCCATCTTTGTCACTCACCACTCAAATACTTAGCATCTCACACAGTCCCCAGCATGTAGCAGGGCCTCAATAAATGTTTGAGCTGATGAACTATTTCCATTAAGCTGAGGGCCAGAGAGGAAAGAAACCTTCCTCCTATTAATTCTTTTTTTTAAAAAAAGAAGGAAAACACAGCAGCTCTTGGGAAGACCCAGCTATGGACGTGAGCCTCCTGAAAGATGATAGACATGTGGCTAGATAAAAGAAGCCTGGTAGGTGAGTCCTGCTTCTGGCAGAGCATCTGAACCTGGCCAGCATGAATGTCCTTCCTGCTCAAAGGCTCACTGTCATGGTGCTTGTGTCCTCAGAGGCAGATCCAGACTCCAGGAAGCAAAGGACATGCTCAGGGAGCCTGGCTCCATGCTCCAGTAGAGAGACACTGGTGTCTTTGCCTCTGTACTCACTGTCCCTCTGCTCAGGGTACTTCTTCCTTACAGCCCACCTTCCTTGCTTATGTGGCAAACTCTTACTCATACTTGAAAACCCAGCCAGGCATTGTCTCCTACAGCTCAGGTGCCCTCCCCTCCAGCTAACCATGGTCCTGCTAATCTCCCCAGACAACTGAGAGCTCCATCTCCCCAGGGCAAAAAGGGCTGCACACCCAGAAGCACATCCAGACAGACTGGTTCTCACTCTGCCCAGGGAGCTGTCAAGGCAGGCTGACTGTACTCTCTCAAGGACCTGAAGTTAGGCACAGGCTGACCTTCCTCAGAACTGGAAACCAAGAAGTGGCAGGACGACATGAGGTGAGCAGAAAGCACACGCCCGAGACAATGTTCCATCCTGTGAACTTGAGCCACCTCGGGGGTGGGGGGGAGCAGAGCAGCTGTGAAAACACCTCAGTGGGTGGCAAGGGGAGAGTTCTCTGGCTGGCCTATCTCCTTCAGACCATGTTTACGAAATGATGTCTACACAGAGCACCCATGACTGAGGTCAGCTATTCTGTGCCCGGGGAGCCCAGACTACTCTAGGAAGAATGGGCTGTAGGATGTGGCTGTTCCATCTCCAGAGCTCTTGAGGTTGGGAGACACAGAGAGCCAAGGAAACCATACACGGCAGCTGCCCAACGCCATGGCCCCAGGTGAGCTACTGTGTGCCCAGGAAGGGACATTCCAGCTTTCCTCTGAGCAGTCACACTCAGAAGAGATGGATCTGTTCTGAGACCTCCACAGAAGGACACAGAGATCACAAATGTGGACTTTCAAGCAGGTCCTTTGGAGCAACAAATTTAAATGGAGCAAGAGGCAAGACTGAATATTCACCAACTGGATTCACACACACATACATACACACTGTATTTATCAACATAGAAAAGAAGTCTGGAAGAAAATACACCAAAATATAAACAGTAGTTCTCTGGGTGAGAGATTATAGGTGCTTTTGAAAACAGTGTTCCTTTATACTTTTCCAATGTATTTTCTAATACCTCTACAACTAACTGCTGTTATAACCAGGGCCAGAAAGGTGTGCTACATCAGAGAAAAGATTCAGGGGTATGAGTGTCCTAATACTATTGTAACAAACTGCCATACATCATGGGCACATAACAACAGGGATATAGTCTTTCATCATTCAGGAAGCCAGAAGTCTAAAATCCTAGTGTTGGTACACTGGATACTTTCTGGGGGTTTAGGGGGAGAATCTACTCCATTCCTGTCTCTTAGCTCCTCCTGGTTGCTAGGAATCCTTGGCATGCCTTGGCTTGTGGCCACACCACTCCTGTCTGTTCATGACATGCTCTCTGTGTTTGAAGGTAGGACAGTACTTGAGTACATCTGCAAACTTGAGTACATCTGTAAAGCTCCAATACCCAAATAAGGTCACAGTCACATGTATGAATTAGGACTTCACCATATCTTTTGCAGGGGGAAAGGGGACATAATTCAATTCATAACAAAACATGGTGAGTCCAAAGGAAAATAAGACAAATAGCTGTGCTTAAATATCTGACAGGATCTCTTAGTTTGAAAGGGTTACACTTGGACTGCATGGCTCTGTGAAGAAGAAATGGAACTAAAGTGTGAATATTTCCAAAAGACAGGCTTGCTCTCAAAATAGGAAAAACTCAACAGTCCTGACCTACACGGGCCATTTTGGGTGGGAAATTCTGTTTCAGAGGATGCTGAACAGACTGGAGGCCCACTTATGTCTGATATGAGTATTTCAGTGAGCCCTGGACTAAATAATATTCAAGGCCTGGTAGTCTTCTGTGATCCACACAGGCATTACCAATGGCTTCTGCACTGCCCTGAGCTCGCCAGGCTACCTCCCACCTATGTGCTCAGTATTACACTAGCTTCATCTCATCCAGGCTGGGAAACCCCAGATGTTACAGACAAGCAGCGGTTTCCAGCTTATTTCTTCTTTTTGGTCTCAAGGAAACCTGGAGAGAGCACATTCATGACTGACAAGGAAAAAAGGCATCAACCAAGTCAGGAGACATGGTATTCTGGGAGTTAGACAACAGGAAAAGCCCCACACTCCTGATCCTAAGGGTGACCCCAAGCCCTCACCCCAAGCACCATGTATCTTCAAGTCAAAGCTGGCAGAGGCCACAGCCCACAGATGAGGGTCAAAATTGCTAAGGAAACAATCTATAAATTGTTTAAAGGGAGGGAAGATTGTCCACAGAGTAATGTTTACATTAGAAATAGCAGTGACATTGCAAGTTAAGCCTGTTTATTGTTTTTTTTAAATAGAGGCAAAATCTTGTTTGTGATGGGAAGGAAACATTGCTCTCCAAAGAGGCTTTTCTTTTCACCCCAAACACAAAAATAAGAATCGCTCACCTCTCCACAGGGTCCCTGAGCATGACGATCAGCTTGGCGTCTGGCTGAAAGGCATGGATGAAGTCCTGGGTCAGGAATGGCGGCTCTCCATCTGTGCTGTTGTCATAGAAGAAAGTCCACGCATTGTTATCCCACATGGTGGAAGCACTGGCCTCCCCTGGAAATAGAAGTTCCCGCAAATGAGCAGCTGTTGGGCCACAGGGTGCAGGCTCCCATTGTGTGTTGAAGCCAAGCCCAGCTTTCATTCTTCCTCTTAAATATCCGTGACACACAAGCCCATCAGCCATCCCTGGCAGACAGGACTCCAGAGCAAGGAGAACCGGTGTCCCTCCCTGCTGTAGTGACCCCTACTCCTACTCCACACCCCTATCTGAAAACCTAGGAATCCATGATACACTGAATGCCTCCTCCTAGGTCCTTTCTTCAGGGTGAACAAAAACACAACCCTTTGAGCCCCTTAGTTTCACGACATTTAATTTTGCTCTCAGCTCACAGCTCTGTGGCATTTTAAGGGCCCACTGAGAATGTGCTTGATGGTTTCCTTCAAAAAGGATCAGGGAGAAAGGAGTAGCTTGCGGGAACCAACCCTCACCAGGAAACTGGGTGTAGTTTTGATCTACCTTTGATCTACACTAACAGTCATGGAATGTATTCTAGGTCTAGTGAGAAGGATGCCTTGCCTGAAGCACAGGAGCCCCAGCCTCAAGATCTGTCTCCCACATGACTATCTGTCCACGGTCCTCACTTAGTGCTGGCTGCGTGAACAGATCCCAGCCCCTGTTTTACCACAGTCCATGTGGCCAAAGGATGAGAATGTTAAGTCCACCTCAGAGGGCAAAGGTGAGGCTGAGACACCGACATTTCAGCTGCATAGACTCTTTAAAACTGAACCAAACTCCATAATTTTTAAGGACTGTCTCATAGATTTAGGAAGAAAAGCAAATCAATTAATCAGTCATACAATTTTGGAAGACCATGCACAGGACTATACAATACTCTCCAAAGCACGTATTCTGGGAAAATCTGAACTAAAAGATTAAGTCTCTTTGGTCACTGATAAGCATATTATAATCATGCAAGAAGTTAGCAAGACCCCATTTCTTCTGCTGGATATGTAATCATGTCAGGTGAACATTTCTGCTCTGGCCTTTCTTCTTTTCTTAGTTTTTAAAAGAGATAATACCCTAGGATACAGAAAAGACAAGCCAATCAGAAGTCCTTTGAAAATTCTACTCACAGTGAATAACAGAATATAAAAGACAAGTGAAGCATCTAAAACTAAATTAGCACAAATTCTGTCAGATCTCAAAAAGAAACTGGTTCTAAACTACAGAGCCATGTGTCCATTTACTCAGGGCTGTCTGTCCATCTATTCATCTCCATCATTCATCCGTCCAAAAGCATTCAAGTGATGTCTACTCTGTGCCCTGTTTTGTGCGTGGCACTGGGGACAGAAGAGGGAAACGAGGCAGATATGGACCCTCCCCTGCTGGACCTCACAATCTAAGGTAAAGACAGACAATTCAAGAACTATCAGCTACCACATGAAGTTGCCAAGAGGAACAGGGCACAGTGCCATGCACGAAGATGGGGGACTTTTTAACATGCCTGAAGTCCCAGCCCCTTAGGTCCCTGCCTCTTGAGTCTTGAGGCTCCTGCGTGTCTCTCACTGCTAGACTGGGGAAGGAAGACTCACTCTGATCCACAGGCCCCAGAACTTCCTGCCTCTGCCAGGAATACTGGAAGGGAGAACAGATGCAAAACTAAGTCATATTCCAGGGCTGAGAGAAGACTAGACTTGATCTGGTCTAACTCTTCCACCTTACAGGCATGTCGACCAAGTTCAGAACAAAAGCCTGACTTGTCACATGGCACAAAGCAGGCTATGACACAGACAAGCCAGATGTCAGCTCTTTATCTGCCGCTCCACCCTGCCTATCACACCATGAAACTACCATTAAACACACCAAACCCTGCTTCAAGTAAATATCACTGTGGTATTTTTATTTCTTGTTCTTCTTTTTATAATCTAGCAGCAACCAACATCAGAAAACCAAATGGAAACTTTCCTTTTTCATTCACTAAGTCTCTGTTTCCTGGTCCTAAGATGAGTATTTTTAGCTCTTCCATAGAACCTGAGATAGTCCCAGACGCATATGGTGTGGGAGTCACAGGGAATATTTATCAGACTTATTATCTGGGGTGTTTAGAACCCCAAATTTGAGAGAAAGAGAAGATAATACCCAGTTCATACTGAGGTTATAGGGTACAATCTCACTGGCTCCCAATGACTTGACTTCTGAGTTAAAAAAAAAAAAAAAAACAAACAGAAAGAAAAAGAAAAAGAAATCAGTCCAGGCTTAGGCACATAGGTCTCTTCTTAGCCATGGGAGTATCCTTGTTCAAGTGGCTGATTACAGTTCACCTTGCTCACTAAGAGATTTAGTTAATTTAGAGAATCAAAATGTAATAGATCTAGGAAAATAAAAAATAGACCACTGCCTCAGGTAACCAATTTAAGCAAAATGAATGATTAAATTTCTCATTCAGAAAATATCAGTGGATAAATGCCGTATCCCAAGCTGAATTCACTAAAACGATTTATATTGGATGGACAAGTCTAGGGGTCTAATGCATACCATGATAACTACAGCTAGTAATGTTGTATTGTACAGTGGAAATCTACTAAGAAAGCAAAAAGAATCAGTATATATTTTAATAAAACATTTTTATGAACTTTTGAACAAGTGATTAATCAAATAACCTCATTTTGAATGCCCAAAGCCACAAGGTTGATGAAGGTGAGGCCCTTTAAACAGCAATGAGTCCTAGAAGCCATGGGGGAATATGCATACTTGAGGAGTAGACATGGTCACAACGGCTGGGGTTACAAAAGCCTGAGTATGAAATTAACAACTATTAATCAACTATTAACAGCTATTAATCAGTTGTACTGATGACCTTCCATCCAAACTTAGATCAGCAGATTATGAAAGGAAGTCAAGCCTGCCCAATTTAAATAAAAAATAAAGACATGGCAACTCATTTAAAAAGCCACTTCAGCTGTCCTTGAGTCTGCATGTAATTAGAAAGTTGATTCAACATTTCTGTTTCATACTAATGGTACAAGTGATGTGAACATTTCACACAGGAGTGAGAGTAACACAGTGATGGCCAGGCAGGGAAATGGAGGCTCAGTGATTACCTGCAGCCATCTGAGAAAGCTTTTGAGGTGAGACAGAGCTGCACACAACCCAGAAAGAACCAGTTTCTCCCTCCAATCCCCAGAAGGTTCACAGAAACCATACCAATAATGATTTGATTCATCTTGCCCTGTTCATTTGCAGAGCTGGCCTGCAGTCCTTGATGGATTTGGAGCGCAGCCAAGTCAAAGAGGTCCAGATAATCTTCCACAGGATAGCGGTCTCGAAGCCCATCTCTCAGTCGGACTATTCCTAGGAAGGGAAGAAGCAGAAATTTGATGATAAAGTTGCCACTGATAGAGTGGTAGCTTCCTGGAGTGACCAGAGAGGGATGGAAAGTCCCCAAAAGCCAGCTATAGCAGCAAAAGCCTCAGGCCAGGTAAGCTTCAAGAGGGGGCATATGACATAGGGGTGGGGCCTCTATTACCAGCTGTCTTCTTCCAATGTGTGCATACTTCAAGGGGTAGAGGACACCAGCACTGCTGGGCAATGGTTGCTTAAAGGATGGCACATCTATTCAAGAGCTATAAATGTGTTTATGTGGAGGACCAGAGTTTGGAGTTGGTTACCGTGTATACCAGTAAAGTGGCTGGGCAGCAGAGACATACAGGATCCACACAATATTATCAAACAAGAAAAGATGAGAGGGCCTCCAGTCAAGAGGAACAGCATTCAATCAACTTCATGGTACCTTTCTTCATAGGGGCCCAACCAGCGTCTGCCTGGCATTCTATCTCTTGACCTCACCAGTCAAGCAAACTATCATTTATTTTTCTGAAAAGTAAGGGGCACTGGGTGGACACAGACTCTGGCATTGGCCACATACAGCCTGAATTTGCCCCTTGTCTTAAAAATAGGTAAATTTCAGTTGTAAACATTTTAAAAATATACTTCCAAACCACAGCTACCAAAGTTACTGTAAAGTAGAAAGACAATGTATATGGTCAAAGCAACAGGAGGTTCAAGGTGACACTGAATACCAGCTTCCAAGGCACATCCTGTGTTTCCTCTCTCCTCCCAGTGGGAAACTGGTTTTCATTAGGGAGCACCCAACAGTGGGAGAGTATATTCAGACGTGTCTGGCAGATGCATATGGACATGAATCATTGGCTACCATGGTGGCCACTGTTAAGCCTATAAAGAAACATACTCTACTTTTGTTTACTCCAGGATGAATGTCAAAAGCATAAAAATCAACATTTCTCAGGAAGCACATTCAGAATTGGTTTAAGGAAAACTTTTAAGATTCTCTTCTGGGTCCTTTATGCAAAAAATACCCTCCTGGCCCGCCCAGACCTTGGCAGACAACAGACCATGTATCACCCTTTGCTCCAGTGACCAAATGTCTCCTGGCAGAAGGGAAAGGTCATGGAGAGGAAACAGTGACCAGAAGGCTACAGGGTGCTTCGGGTTGCACTGGAGCAGAAACCACCTTACAGGTTAGGATGGGCAGTGCCCAGGGTCAACTGTGTGGCAAAAGGGTATAGAAAGCAGGATCTCCAATGTTTTATCTTCTGGGTTTCAACCCAAAACATGTGGTGCAAACAAGCCGATCGCTGAAACTAAGACGCAAAGCACCGGTGTTTCCACCAGGTACCAGGGCTGCAGTGAAATAGCACAGAACTACGCACCAGCCACCCCAGTCCAGTGGGCTGCTTCTCACTAACCAAGACTCTGGCAGGTATTGCTCACCACCAGAGTCATGTGCCAAAGCTCTTCAGGACAAAAGCTGCCCATTCTGCACCTGTCCCTGCTCTGCATACAGCTGGCACTCAATCAATGCTCCCTAGGTGGCTAGAAACTGGCTTTCAGCCCTTGGTGGGTCTTTGCCTGTAAACTGTTGCTGTGCTTTGGAAATGGTTTGAGTATGTTCTCCAAAGGTTCATTTGCTCTACAGTTGGTCTCCAGTATGGTGAGGTTGGCAGGTGATGGGACCTTTAAGCAGTCGGGCTTAGTAGAAAGTGATCAGGTCATGGGTATACTGCCTGGAAAGGGATTCATGCTAGTCTCTTGGGGTGAATGAGTTCCTGCCAGAGTAAGTTATTACAAAATGAAGCCACCCAGTGCTTAGCTGCTTCTTCATTTGGCCCTTTTCCTCTTTCTGCAATGCTGACATGAAGCCAGGGGATTCTCACCAGGTCTGCAGCACCACAGTTTGGGCCCTTTGGCCCCCAGAATTGTGAGGGAAAACTCTTTCCTTTTAAACTACTCAGCCTCTAGTACTTTGGTACAGCAACACAAAATGGACTAAAACAACTGTCTAGTAGCAGGTGAAGCGTCAGATCTCTGTGTCTCAGTATGTCTTCTTATCTTCCCTGTCCTGCTTCCTTAGGGAGCCTCACCCTGGTGCCAGCCCCAGCTCTAACGTGTGCTGAAGGAATAAAAGAGGGAACAAATGAGAGGGAAAAAGGAACTCACCAAACCGCTTACGGGTCCACCAGTGCGGCTCTTTGATGGCAGAGAACTTCACTTCCGGGTGCAGCCGGAGGCGGTCGTAGAGGTCTGTGGTCCCACACTTGGGCTGCCCAATGATGTAGAAGTGTGGCAGGCAGCGCAGGCGGAAGTGCTTCCCGTGCGCATGCGACAGGTGGCCCCAGAAGGCCTTGCGCAGGGCATGGAAGGTAGAGCGGAAGCGCTTGGAGTAGAGCACATAGGAGTTGGTGAGGTAGGGGTCGGTGGTGTTTCTCCCGGAGAATTCCTCGTACCAACAGGGGCTCTTACTGTTGGGAAGGAATTTATTGGGGATGACTGAAAACATCTGAAATAAAGACAAAGAATGGAAACATGCCAAAGGAAAAGGACAATTAGTGAAAACACATTCTAATCACAATGTAATTGTGCCCTAAACTGGATTATACTGTTCAAAGTTGAACTACATTTCACAATGATTTAAAGATACAATAATACTAAAGTTGGTAGGTAGCCAATGGCTATGTATGTTTTCTTTATCCCAAAATCAATTTTTAAAAAACTTTTTTGAACAGTGAAGATTAAAAGTTTAAGCAATATTCATTCTACTGTGATCTATATTTCCTATACACAACATAGAGACACACACAGCAATGTAATTAAACAGGTGGAAATTTTTTTTTACTAGTTGTATATTTAAACCAATTTTAGAAACAAAAATACAGATTAGCACAAAATAGAACAAAAAATCAAATTGCATTCAACTTTAAATTTCTAAATGATAGTGGCCTGAAAAATCAGCTTTAACTACTACGACTCCATTCCAAGCAAGAAGTCCTGAAATGCAATTATGAGAGAGGATGGTTCTTAAATATTTCTAGCCAGGTCATTCAGAACAGCAAATTCCCTTCTTGGTGTTCCATAGTATAAATAGTGTGCTCTGATCTGCAAGGCTGTCTGATTATCCTTGCTATGGTTGAGAAATTTTTGAATCATTCTCTTTCCATGTTCCCAAAGATGGTGATAGGAAAGGATGTATCCATGTTTAAGTCAATCAAGATCGACACAATGCTACTCACGTGCAACTCCTGCCTCTTGAGATCTTGTAAGTCTGGGAGCTGTCTGTTCGTGAACTCAATCCTGGCTCTGATGCTGTTGATAATTAGCTTAATGCTTGGATAGTCTTTCGTGTAGGAAATATTATTTACAGAGGGTTGGTAATGATGGTCTTTCATATCACTGGGGTTTTCACCGTCCATCAAGCTGGGGTTATTGGGGAATCCTCCATAATGGAAAGGAGATGAGATGAGAAGTTCCTGGTGGGCCCCAGAAAGGATGTAAGAAGCCATCACCAAGGTCATTATTATCAGTCCAAAAATGAGGCTACATCTCTTGCCCTTTTTAAAGCGCAGAAAACCACCCCAGTTCTCATTCCCTTCAGTCCTCACTTCAAGAACAGCAAGCAAGTTCATCTGCTTACTGTCTACACGAAACAGAATTTTATTTTCTCCTTTGCACGTGGGGCACGCCTGGTGACTGTGCTGGAGGCCTCCTCGGCAGCCAACCTTCTGTTTGTGTGCGTTGTCAGGTAACAACTGTATGCAGCAATTAATGCAGTGCCTCATGGTAGTGTCCTTGAACTGTTGGCTTAGTGAGCCATGGGCAAGTCCCCCAGGAGTCTGGACACATATGACTGTGCTGGGAATTGTAAGGATGATTTGTGATTACATAAGATAGTCAAAAAGCAAAGGCAACAGAAAAAAAATATAAAAATGAGCAGCCAGCAATGCTCACCTCTGAAAGACAACAAAAGGAAGTGATTTCTAACTGTCATATTCCACTGGAGCCACTGGAATATGGAGGTTGTCAGGAGTACAGGACTAATTCTGCTTGTCTTTCAAGTTTTTCCCATTGCACAAGAAAAAGGAGGAACAGTATCACTGGAGAACGTGGAGACACACCAGAGATTTGAAGATATCATGGTCTTCTCATGGACAGATGGCCCAGCACACTACCCATGGAGATGCCTGGAAGATTTCTACTTCTGCATTCTGTGTTCCTTTGGGATGTTTTTTCTCCGTAGGGAACAAACTCTTAAAAATGTCAGATTACCTAAACATAAATAAAATAAGACTTATTATATGATGTAGTAACAGTCAAAACCCAGGGAAAAATAGATGTTCACTTCTCTTTTCCATTTCTCACTTTCAGCCAACTTGGCAAGGTCACAAGTAAGTTAAGAAAATTATACAGAATTGGGGCTGGGGATTTAGCTCAGTGGCACAGCACCTGCCTGGCAAGTGTGATATAGTGAGTTCAATTCCCAGTACTGGAAAAAAAAAAAAAAAAAAAAAAAAAAAAAAAAAAAAAAAAAAAAAAAACAAAAAAAAAAAAAAAAATTATACAGGATAAAAGGAAGGTTTCAGGTCCTTGTGCTTAGCTTTGGGGTTCAATCTCTGCCATCAAATGTGGTCCCAATAACTGGTACCATGTTCAACACCCCAAACTGTGCACAATTCCCCATATTCTCTAATAGCTCTGCCCTCATCCATATAAGCTATGGCATCTCAGAGTCCTACCAGGACTTGGCAATCATTCTCAGATTTGGGCAGTCACAGCTATAAATTTGAATGTTGATATAAAAAAATATAAAGAATAATTACAAAGAGATGGTTAGTATGAGAAGAAGCAGAGCAAATAGATTTTTCCCCTCCCAATCTGTTAGCTAGAACTAGACTTTACTATCAGTTTTGGAAGCAAAAGTTAATGAAAATTTAGAAACAATGAAATGATTCTCTCCTTCAGTAGAGTGTATCATATAAAAAACCATTTGACTTTAAGTTATTAAGCAATTAAATCCAATGTACAATATTCCCCTGAGCAATGAACACTTCAGACCCTGAAATAATTTTTCACTTTCATCATCCTAGGGAAGACATGATTCTTAAAAATCCATTAGCACAATCCTGTGGCTGTAAAACGTATTGTTTCCCAAATGACATTTCCTTGTAGATATCATAAAAGGGGTACTGAATGAGCAAAAGGAGACCTACTTGGTTTCTAGCCCTGGTAGACCCCCCAACTACCAGTATTCTGACCCTAAGCAAGCCATCCAATCTCTCTTGGTTTCCTCACCAGTAAAATTAGAATAATAAGTAGCTCCATTATAAACTTGTAACAAGTACTAAATTAGTTAACATATATGTAAAGAGTTTGCATAATACCTGACACATATTTAGCATCCTATAAGAGGTAGATAACTGATAATAATAGCATCATCAACTATCTTATAAATTTTAATTGTCAATGAATGCCAAGAATATTTGAAGTGCAATAAAAAATGACAGACCCCTTGCCATATTATTTTTTTTTGCAGGGGCTGAAATTACTAAAGATGGCAGACTGGCCTCCAATTCTACATGCACCCTCCTCCAATAATATTTATTGTCCCTAGAGAGATGGCAGTAAGTGACCCTTCAATGGAGCATCCAAGGATTGACTAGAAGATTGAACAATCAGGATCCACTAGGAGAAATTTCCACTTTTCTTGGACCAAAAAACTCCTGTTTTCTTGAGTTACCTTGGTCAAAAAATAGCCAAGCAGTATTTCTGAAAATATCTTCCACTCAAAATGTTCTGCATGCCATCAACAAGTATCTTTGCTTAAATTATTTGGAGAAAAGGTGGGATGGACAAAATTACACAGAATTCTTTACAACAGGAATTTTACTATGCCAGTAATTATGGGTCTACATGGGAGGACTATAATACACAGAATTTGTGAAACATATTGGCCAATTAATTTCTCCCTAAGCTCTCAAGGAACCAGTCTGAAAAGTGCTGGTGAGGAAGGAGTTGAGAGTCAGGCAGAGGCAGGGCATTTGTAGGAGCATAGAGGAGAAGAGGCGGAGAATCTGCTTCCAGACACCAGAATAAACATCTGACTCCACTGTCCCCTCTTGCACCCCTTAGGGCAGCTGGACAGGCACATCAGGAACCTCGAGGCTCAGAACTCTGCTTCCAACTTGCTCAATCACCCCTGACTCATTGCTGGGTACAAATAATTCTTCCAAACCAAAGAAACAAAAGGGCAAGATCCCCTACTTGGAAACTCCATCACTAAAGCCAAGAAAACATTCCTTCACATATAGAAGACAAGACCAAATCTGGTTAAAAATGAAACTCCCACCAGGAGCCCTGCAGGAGGGAGTTTGCACCGTCCTGCACCGTCCTTCTGCTGTGGAAGGTCTAATTAGATTCTTTTTTAAAACAAACACAAACAAAACTGACTTTGAAGTTACAAGACAAGAATGTACATAATCTGGACACAACAAAATGGGCAAAACATTCCTAACCAAGACTAGAAGTGTCCTATTTCAAGCAACGTAAATAACTTGGGAGGGGCCAGATATTCTCAAAGTTTGTGGGGAGAGGGTAGACTAAGGGTGATGCCTGGCCACGCACCTTTCTGGAGAGCTGCACCTCTAGCCACACTGGCTGCTTTAAGGCTCACTTCTTGAACATAAATAACCAGGAAGACAATTCAAGATGCCTTACAAGCCTTAGGAAAACACTCAGATACAATATTTGCTCATCTCCTATTATTTAGTCATTCACTCTCTCAGCAGATACATCCTGAAGGCTTTGTGCCAGGCACATTCAGGTATGGGAACCTGAAACCAATACAAGATGGGAATGTACACACACACACACACACACACACACACACACACTTACACATTCATCCTCAGTGCTTGACACACAGATTCTAAATCCTTAGTTTCCTGAGTGATAGGAACATCTTTTCTTATTCCTTTTTTTATTTTAAGAAATAAAAGAAGGAAAACATATTAACAAACAGACAACCATTTATAAAATAGCATAAGAACAATACAAACAAATCAGAGTTACAGACAAAGTTGTAGGAAATTAACCACAGTTATTGTATTACTTATTGATATCTTCAAAGTGGTTTCTCAAGAAAACAAATACAGACATACAAGATTGATCAAACAAGTAATCATTAACTGTTCCTTTCTGTAGAGCAATAGAAGACAGTAGTACAACTATGTTAGCTATCCTGTATATACATACATACATAATTTCCCCTTCTTTCTCTTCTCTTTTCCCACACCCCAGTTGCCCTTTACTTTTGAGCATTTTCCTTTCATTTCACAATGTCTATCATACCTCCGAGTTTTTATTCACTCTTTCATGTCTTACACTAGTGAGACAATACGATTCTTACACATGCAGGTCTGATTTATACACATGCAGGTCTGATTTATTCTTTTCTTATTCCTAACAAACTTTTTTCAAGCACTGCTGAGTGTATGCTTATTAGGTGATTCATGCCCCCACTAGGAAGATTCTGGATGAGGGCTGATCACCAGGAAGACAAAGCCTTGATTAGAAGGTTGGAATTTTCACCCTAACTCCTCAACTTCCAGGTAGGAGTAAAAGAGGCAGGAGATTAAATTATAGCCAGTGATATGATCAGTTAATTATGCCTTCACAAAAACTGCTAAACAACAGGGGTTCTCAGAGAGCTCCGGGGCTGGTGGACCCATGAAGGTGTAGCATGCAGAGCAAGGGTGGGAAGCTCCATGTGCCCCCTGCCCTTGGCCCCTGCCCAGAGAATCTATCCTATTGGCTACTCCTGAACTTCACGATAATCTGCTGACCCTAAGGAAAGCACTTCCTCAGCCCAGGGAGTCATTCTAGCAAATTTCCAAACCTACACAGGAAGTTGTTGAAGGCCCCCTCCACTTTTTGGCCAGTTTGGACAGAAGGGTGCGTTCCCGCAGGATCCAATACTTGAGAATGACATATGAAGCAGAGGAATTCTCATAGGATTGAGCTCTTAAATTTCAGGAAGTTGCTGTCAGAATTGAATTGAACAGTAGGACTCCCCAGTTGGCGCTGGACATTTGGAGAATTTTGTAGGCATTGGAAATAGCCCCATGGAGGGACGATTTGAAAAATATACTAATACCTTACACTCACAAGTTTAACCCAAACATACAGCCACTGTATAGCATGTAAAATACACCTCAACAAAACTGATTAAAAATAATAGTCTTATGGCCAGAGGAATACATTGCTGGCACCCTTGAAAGTGAAGGGCCTAGGGCTTTGGGGTTTCTGAAAAACTCTCCCCTTTATAAATGGAGGAGTGCAGAAATGAGCAAGCGAGGGGGCTTTCTTCCCACCTGGACTCATGTCCCAGCAGGGGTTGACGATTTGAGGACAGCAGGACATAAGGAAGTTACAAGTGAGTATGATAATCTCAGGGGCTGATAAAAGGCTATGAAGAAAATGAAAAGGCAGAAAACATTAAAACCATCAAAACAGGAATATTCAGTGCTGCAGGGGCTACTCCAACCGTGACAGGGTGTTTAGCAGCACCCCTGATCTTCACTTACTAGATTCTAGTAGCCCTCCTACCCTAAGATGCCACAACCAAAAATATCTCCAGACATGGTGTAGTGGATTGATAACCGGTGGTCAACTTATAACCCCCAGCTGAACTGAGAAAGCATGGTGCTGGGTGTGGGAGGCCCTCCTGGGGACTGTTACCAGCAGCATGAGAGGCAGACATGGAGAAGAAGAAAAAAGGCTTTGGGAGCTAAAAAGGCTGTTGGGAGCTGAAAGAGGCTGTCGGGAGCTGGTAGAAGCTGCAAGGAGCTGTTGGTTGTTTTGCAGGAGCTCGTCATGCTGGCTTTCCTGATGAACTTGGCTGTTTTCATCCTCCAAGGAGCTCAGGACCTCATTGGCACTGAGAATGGCTTCAGTTCACTTTGGGGGAGCTCTGGTTCTTTCGAGCATCACTTCCTGGCTCCGCAGGGGAAGATGGTGCTCTGCCAGTCTCCTAGAGAAGCTTGCTGCATTGGGAACTTGGCCATCTTGATCATCAGAGAAGCTCTGGACTTCACTCTTGCTGGGTATGGCTGTGGTACCTTTCTGGGGAGCTCTGGTTCTTCTGAGTGTCACTTCCTGGCTCCAGTGCAGATCCCTCAGCCTGCTAGCATAGATCCTTCATCCTGCGGGCACACACTTTCTAGATTCCACCACCAACCTTTGGGCCTTCCCAGCGCAGATCTGTGAAACAG